CACCATTCCAAGCTGACTTCTATTACTCTACGGTCTAACTTTTTCTTCTGAATCACTTTAGCGTCGTGAACTTGTTTCTCGAAGTGAGGATACGACTTTATGGCCTATATTCTTTTGTTACCTCAAGGCCTGTCACTTCTCGTCTTTTCCTTCACTTGACTATGAACTCTGGAATACTGTCATCTTTTTGGCCTACCATTGTCATCCATGTATCACATCTTACTCTTAATGCTTCATTAGCTCTCTTCTTATTTCCTGCTAACATTTCTGTTTATCACTTTATTCTGAATACTTCAACAAGATATTCTTTTGCTTTTAGTTCCCCTCTGCACCATCCACTAGCTCTTTGGGTTGCCTAGCATTATCTCTCTACTAGGGACGGGAGCCATACTGAGATAATATTTATCCTTTTCAGGCTTTCAGTGCCTGCCTTTGTAGTACTCATGTATAGCTGTACTATTTTAGAGTGCACCATCTAGGTATCTCATAAGGAGATCTATTTTCACCTTTTTAATATCCTTTCGAAATGTAAATTAGCGCAAACTATCCATCCATCATTTTGGTTACTCTAACCCCACCCGGATCATGCTATCATATCCTTCTCTTAAACCATATCTGTTAGCTCTCATAGGGCATGACTAAGATAGGTGTGGCCGATTGTACGTACATCTGTTATTGTTAAAGGTAACTCAAAATGCTTATACCGAGTGAAAATAGATGGTGCACTCTAAAATAGTAAATGATAAATAATGATAATCTTTATTAACTAGGTACCTCGTACCTTTCTTCACCTTGCTTCTTTTACTTGCTGAAACTTGTGTCTAACTTTCGATTCTGTTATTCCTTTTTACCGTAAGAGTGGATAAGTATTCTTTCCTTAAGGCTCCTTATCAAGAACCTTACACCTTTTAGTACACGCATGATTTGTCGAAGACCTCACATTTATTCATCATAATCAAGATGCAAAATCGAGTTCCTCTAACTCAACACTTCCACAGTTATATCCCTTATCGACCGTCTTTCTGAATGTAGGCATCGTTTGATTATGAACAAAATAGAATTTCGAAATTTGAATTCTTATAAGTGAGCTCTACCACTTGATCTAGAGTAAGAAGAAATAGTGACAATCCCAAATGCCCTATAGCCTCCTGCTTATAAGTGTGGTGCACGACATACCCATAAATAAGACTACTAGACATGGCTTGTAGACTCCCTAGGACTGAACTGCTCTGATACCACTTTTGTCACGACCCAAACCGATGAGCCGCGACGGGCACCCGGTACCTTACTCGACCGAGTGCCAATGTAACGTATCTTTCTTATTACATCATCACATACACGTGACATACAGGCCTAATAGGCCAACATAATCATTTATAAACTCAAAACATAGGCCGACAAGGTGGTACAATCTTTCACATATATGACATATGTCTACAAGCCTCTAAGAGTACATAAATATCATAAAGGTCGGGATAGAGTCCCGCCATACCAAACAATACACATCTAAATCATACTAACCAAACAAGCAACTCCGAAGCAAATGGAGCGCACCAACATCTTCCGCTAAGCTGATAGCCTACTTGGAGGGCTCTCGACCTATCTATCGGGACCTGCGGGCATGAAAAACAGCATCCCCAGGCAAAAGGGACGTAAGTACGAATAATGTACCGAGTATGTAAGGCACATAAGTAAGTACATAAGAGACATGAGAGAAATATAGAGTACATGACTGAACTTATAAGTCTAAATAACTTTGTAAATCATAAATTACTTTTAGCGTCATGCATTTACGTATGAATGTCATGTCGTGCATAGGTATATGTTTCATAACATCATCAACCTTTGAGGGCATCCCATCATATCATATTGGCCACAGCGGGCAACATCATCATCGTATACCAGCTGATCAGGTGGTGGTGCGTATATAACGCTATAATCTTTCCCATATCCCATATACATATATATATATACATACATATATACACGTATATAACGCCGTTTGAATCATATTTCAGGCACTATGGGCAACATCATCATCATATACCAGCTGATCAGGTAGTGGTGCGTATATAACGCCGTAACCTTTTTCCCGTATCCCATATAAATATAATATACATATATATGTTTATATAACGCCATCTGATCATGGGTCCATACACATGTATAAATGGGTGAAATGCATGAAAATACATAATAATCTTAATATTCCTTTCGGATAAACTATTTCAACTACATATTATTCTGAGACCCATGAACAGAAGATAATAATAATTCTCATGGGGAATCAAGAATATAGACACCCCTACTATTTTTGTGAATAGAATAATTTATAGAAAACTATGTATTTGCTCGTTTCTTTAGTATAATTTGGACCATGCCAAAAGAAAGAAGGGATAGCCTTAACATACCTGTTCCTGGAGTTATTTGAACGGAATGAAGCTTCTGCTTCCGTGAACTGTGTTGAACGAAATTCTGCCTGAATCCCTTTGAAATTTTGAACGAAATTGTGGTGGCCTTTTGAAATTTCTATCGAAATATTTTTGGCTAAAGGGTGAAATTGTTTGGACGAAATAGCAGTCACATTCTTGGTTTCAAACCAAGAACAAATTGAGGCTAAAGTCATGAGATGTTAAAGACAGCCAAGAATGAAGTTTGCTTCTATTTTTTTGGTTTTTAATGGACTTGATACTAATTTGATGTGTCATATTAGTGGGTTTATCAGATTCCTTGTAGGGATACGATTAGACACCTATTTCAATTGTTTATGAGTTATCCTCTTTAATTAGTGGCCTTGTGCCACGTGGGTGGGGTGATTAGTTTATTAAATTTTTCCACTTATTAGTTAATCGGGTAATGTCCCGTTACCTGGTATTTAACCAATTACCCGAAAATTTGAGAATTATTCTCACTTACTTGAAATATTACTCATTTTTCACATACCTTATACGCCTTACTATTATGGTCATGCGGTACCTTGTATGGTACTAGTCCATAAATACTGAGTATTTTAGCTTGAGCCGTATTTTATCCCAAAATATCAAATTTCAACGAAATTCATTTTCTTTGACTTTCTTCCCCTCTCACCTTCACGAATTTATTCATCCCTTACAATCCTTATAATCACCAAATAATTTTTTCCTTGGACTGATGTCAATTACCTACGACAAATTTAACGTACAATACTGCAAGGTGAAACATTGTCGTAACTTATTACTGCGAAGCGTAACATCACCGTAATGTAATAGTAGAACACTTTCGTAACTTAATACTGCGGGACGTAAGATCATCGTAATATATTACTGCAAAAGGTAACATTTTCGTAATATAATACTTCGGGACGTAATATTGATGTAATATTGCAGGGTGTAACAGTTAGGGGCTAAGTTGTGGTACCAAATCATAGCGCTTTTCGACAGCGTTTCTCCAAACTTTTTCAACAAGACCGATTTAATCTCATCGTCATTCTAATCATTCCTTTGATTCTGCAAGTGTATGAAGTAATATGCTCGTTAGGGTCGGTTGTCCCGTTATATTTGGGTATATCAGGCATGCGAAACTTCTTGGGAATGGGCATCAGAGCCGCATTTGGGGGGAATGGTTTTTGTATGAACTTTTTGGCGTCTAAACCTTTCAAAACTGGAGGTGCCCTCGGTATTTGGTCAACACGGGAGTTCTAAGTTTCCACCTTCTTATTTTTTCTCCGGACTCGATCCTCTTGGTAAACTCCTCGAGCATTCTCATAATCGTGGGGTCAGTCTCCGAGCCACTTTCATTGGGCCTTTCTGCCGCTGGTTCAGTACACCGAGTGTTTACTGGTTCGACTGTATTCGGAGTCTTATTCTGACTCTAAAGTTGAGCGATGTTGACTTGCTGAGCCTGCAGCATCTCAAATATCACTTTGGAGGCTGATTCCCCCATCTCCCATTCCTTGCGTTCTTTGGCCATTGGACCGGGCTTCCCAGCGTATATTTCCTTCAGGGTCCGTGCCTAGATCTGCATTCAGAGCAATGCGCGAATTAACATCAACAGGTTTCACATTTAGCACTTCCCTGGGTTTATTTGTGGTACACCGACTCCTGCGTTGTTGTTTTCTCCAAGACCTTTGTTGTCATAGGGGTGCGTTTTGTGAGCTAGACATGTTTCAGCCTGAAAATCAAAAAATCTTGACAAGAAAAAGTGTAAAAGCAATGTGTGTAACGAAAATCAGTAAAGAAATAATCACTATTATCTTTAGCCCCACGGTGGGCGCCAAACTGTTTACCTCGAAAATACAAGGAACAATTAAATTTGATTTGTGGTTTTAAAGATATGTGATTTAGTTTAATACCAATTAATAATCAAGAAACATGAAATAGAAATGAAAGAGACAAGCGAATCAAACCAATGTTACTTGACAGTGGTGGCCTCGAGCTTAGTGACCTCGAGATGGGCTTAGAGCAATAAGAACAATTAAGTAAGAAAAGTAAAGTAAGAGCAGTAAAGCTAAGGACAATTCTAATGGACAGTAGGCAAAAAGGTAGAGAGTATATTTTTTTCTCAATGATTAGATGATGTTAAAAATGATTGGGGTCCCCTTTATATAATAGGGGAACTCCTAAATAAGGTATATTTCTATTTACAGTAAGGAATATTCTTGGTACAGCCTAGTACAGAATTGTACAATCCTATTCCGGGATTTGTGCCATGACTTTGGGGACGAGGCAGAAATATAGCCCGTTCTGGTACAAATCCATAACGGTACTATTTCGGGGTCGAGCACACTTGGCCCCGGTATTCCTCGCACTCCTATCTCCGGGCATCGCTCTCTGTCTTCGAGCTCAAGTCTGGTCAGCCGGTCTCGAACTCGACCTCGTCCGGACTCGGGCCTAGGGCAAACCCTCGAGCCTATAAATCGGAGGCATACGATTTTGACCGTATACACATTCTTTTACTGCAAAACCCGTGTTCCTTATTACAAGAAAAAAGTTGAAATTTATTAGAACACTGAATTTTAATCATGGGTTTGAAAGGATTTATTGAAGGTGGTATTGCTTCATTAGTTGCTATCAGCTCAAGGAGAAAACCATGTTCCTAAACCAATCATCAATCCACAAGTTTACGCTCTTCGTCTTGCTCTCGCTTTCAATAGTCCAACTATCAACAATACAACATTAAGAAATCTCAATCAGAGCCGCAACTATCTGTTAGGACTGGACCCGTTTAACTCTGTTGGAATAACCAAACAGAAGGTGTTCCTATCCTCCACAGTCGTACGCGAAACATTATACTCCACTACCAGACTTGGATGTTTTCAAACAAAAGAAGATGGGACGCAAGATAGCTGCAGGGTTACTAGTGTTGGGATTAAACCCCACACAGAAGTAATATTCATGGTAATAAAGCGGTATAATAACGTAGCACCGAGATACAGTTATCAACAATAATAAAAGAGCGATAACAACACCAAGATTTTTACGTGAAAAACCCTTCCGAATAAGGAAAAAAAACCACGACCTTGAGAGGAGCAACTGATATCACTATAATAAGGAATTTTATACTTTGTAAGCCCGAGTAAAATACTATAAAAACCACTACAATACTCAAAAAAAAAATAACCCTCTTTTGATATTTTCACCTCACTACTATATCGCTCACACTTTTTATTTTCTTCACACACTATTTTCTTTTATCATGTCTGTGATGCCTCAGTCTTTCTTTCTCTCTTTGTTGGTGTGACTAAAGAAGTGAAAGAGGTCCTCCTTTTATAAGAAAAAAGAGTCGTTCGCTCCAAGTGTGCTACAAAAGCATTTTTAATCTCGTCCACTTATCTAAACTTTGGCTCCAAGTAAGATCTTTGACCAAAGATCTCTACCATAGTATAGGCACAATAGGCATAAGGCTATTGCCAACCAATGGGATGGACCCCACAACTAGCAGGTGGCATTGGCGCGGGTATTGGGAACACAACTAATGTAGCCATGGTTCATATCGAGCTTTACTGCTAGGTTTGTGGGGTGGAGGCGTGGAGGCAGTATGCAAGAGCAGTTTATAGAACTATCCTATCCTAGCAACAGAGAAAGAGGAGCGAAGAACCCAAGTAACCACCAATTGATATTTCTGAGCTATGGAGTTTTTCCAATGTCCCCTTCACTTTCTGAGCAGTGATCGGATGCAGTAAATTAAATTGGATTTTTATGTCAGATAATCATTTCATTAAATCGTCAAGATGCTTAAGAACATGCATAATGTGTTTATGGACTCTTCTTATCTCCTATCAAACGTACTGAATTATCTATATAAGAAGGTATTCTTTTTCTTTCTAACACAAAAGGTGCAAAATAAGTCCCTGTGTCGACCTTGGATGTCCCAAAACAACCTAGAAAGGTGAACAGGATTGGCAAACTTAAACGGCTTGAAACAATAAATTTGAGGCAATAACCAGGAACCTAACTAATCATGTCTTCCAAAAATTCTCTAGTGTGGAAGCATCCAACTTTCTTTACAGTTGAATGGAAACAAAACTATCTTATCTTAGGTACTTCAGGGACACCATTCCTCTAATTGACACTCGAAAGAAGTGTTGCAAGAAAATTTTACACCTTAATCCAGTAGGCATAGTTGTTTCGTTCTCTACCGGACATACAACTATAACAAAAGTATCAGCTTTGTGTCAGATCAAGCAAAATTTGGTTTAGTGGCACTGCAACAAATGCATTACACCTCAGCTGATGGATGACCTGTACATATTTGGCCCAGCAAATTCTCAGAACTTCGACTGAGGCAAATTCTCAGAACTTCGACTGTGGCAACATTGGCATCACAATCAGTTCTCAACGGACCAATCAAGATCGTATGCAAAAAGCATGCTCATCGTCTTCTTATCTGGTCCACAAGCATCTATCTGATAATCATGTGATCGTCTCAAATATGTCCTTGAAGGAAGCAGAGTTCAACCCCACTTGGGAAAACTCTCTGGTTTTCCTCTTTCAGAATTTGGAAGGACTTAAGATTTTGTTCCTTGATCTGGTTCACGAAGAACTTGATGGCTATCTGATCCACTCTTGTCAGATGTTTGACTTGGAGATTTGTCCAGAGAGTGGTGAGATTCAGACCCTTCACTTCTTTCAAAGTTGTGGACAGGCTGATCAAAATTTCCTTTGTCAAGATTTAGGAGCTCATTTGTAGCTGGAGTTCGATGTTCCTTCAAGTAGAGCCTGTTTGTTAGCTTTGATAATACAGATATTGTAGCATTGGGTCATTCAGAAATGTAAAGGAGCAAATTCTTCGCAAGCAAAAGATATGAAGGATGACTAGATCTTATTAGAAAAGGTACACAATATATATAAATACAATACAACGTTTATTTGTAGGCATGCTTTCTTATGTAAAATACCAATGTTAAGAGAAACAAGATCTTGCCATATGCACAAAAAATAGATGAATCTTCCTGTTCATCTTCCTCCCCAACCAAAAGTTAATGTTCAATGATTTAAAGTGTCTAACCAAGGCAGTCTGAAAAATATAATATTTGATCCAGGGATATGAGAAGAAAAGGCAGGCTTTTGTCCAGTTTGCTAAGCAGAAGTTATTCTATCCTATGAAATTACACCAAGTTCCTCAACCAAAGATTTATCAGGCTTTCAGCTCATATCCACCAAATAAAGACAAAATCCTAACTTCCTCAAATGAATAGTAAAACTTACCTCATTTGTGGAACCAGATTTTCTGGCACTGGTCGAAGGCCCCTTGCCCATTCCCGCTTCCAGAGACGAGGAAGTGACCAAAGCCACAGAAGATTTGGGACTGCTTGATGAATCTGATTGCGTACTCTGAGGTAGGTGTTTATTTCCTGATAACTGAGATTCATGCTTCTTGTCCTTGTCACAATCTGCCTTGTTTGAACAAGTCTGATGCTGAAGATGTTTTATTTACAACTACATTGGTCATAAACCTTAATACATTGATAATCCATGAAATATTAAAGGAAATTTTTTTAGGCATCTATATCAAGCGGAACAAAGGCATACTAACTTAAACATGAAAAAAATCACAATAAACTCAAGTAATGATTCCAAATTCACATAAGGTATATTAAAAAAAGTCAAGCTAAAACATTACCAATATTTATACTACCTACAGTCCAAAATAGATAGTGAAACTAAGTGTGCTTGAGATTAAGTTTTTTCCATTCTATTGGCATCTTTTGACTAAAAGTGGACCAAGTTTTTTTGAAGACAGGAGAGGTGTTAAAAATAGCAACACATTGAAATGCTCACAGGAATTCAGGCATGTGTTCAAATAGACACACACATGTCTGGAACTGTAAACGGCATTGTTTCAAGAATATGCAAGAAGTACAAATACATATCTGCAAATGAAAAACTCTCTAGCTATGTTGTGCAGACTCTCCAAAATGCTGCTGCACCCGTGTCAGATTCTCCAACAATGTACTACTTTTGGAGGTTCCAACACGCACCCGACGACGTTTTCAGAGAGTCCAAACAACATAGCTCTCTAGTACACCTCAACAGTATAGAAAGTTCACGAAGTTTTTGCCCATGTTCATATAGAAACTATGTCGTTTTCCTTTTCAATTCAGTAAATATTCAATTTTCGGATAGATATAACTGATATTTTATCCACTTCCTTTTGGAAAAGATTTGAATGTTAAGACATGTCACACATTGAGCACAAAGTTTGTATTGTGCAAAAATGATTTTCCTTTGACATGAGGAGATGATAAGAAAAATAGGCAAGGAGCATCTTCCTTTCCGTTTTATCGACCATTTCATGGAAATGAATTCGCTGTGGAAATCTTTGTCAAAGGAAATGACAAAGATCCTCTGAATGAGGTTCAGACCTTGGTTCTGGGACTACATTCCGTACTTCAAACATCAATTATGAGAAGAATTGACAGGTCACACATACAGCATATGGGGTGGTACATTCTAAACCATTTACACATAAAGAGTCAAGATGCTGCAGTAGTATGACAATATCCCTCTGATAAAGAAATATCAGAAGAGTAAGATGATTATCGTTTTCAATTGCATGGTTAAACAGTTTGTACCCATTTTTCTGACAAGACATAGTAATGATTAATGGAGAGCTTGATGATGTAGTACAGAGATTCAATAAAATATCAACCATCCAAATTTGCCATACTCGACCAATTCAGCTGATTAGCATGATTTTGCAGTTTTCTACCTTACATTATTGCTAAGCCAAAGTAATCTGCTTTGGTCAAAAGACAATGAAAAACATGTACCTCATCTCTGGTTGACTTCTCAAGATTTTGTGAAGTAGCATTAGTTTCCACATCCTTCTGTTTATCGCTGCTGCACCAATGTCACGTTGATGAAAAATAAGAAACCAAAATAAAGCAGGATATGTTGAAATGAAAATGCTAAGTGGTCTCATGATTTTGAAGCATCAAAATGCCCTTGAAACTAAAACCTACATGCTAAAAGGCTTTGTGCACAAGCATCCAGAAAAAAAAATGTTCATAATGGAGACAAATTTAACTTTAACGCATGCATCATTCTGTCCTTGCATTTTCTTTCCTTTTCTTTTATAATGAAAGATTAATTAGCAAGCTTGCAGAAGTAGGAAGTTAGATAGCCACAATAAGTAGAGATAAACAAAGTTTGACCAGAAACAGTAAGGTCATGAAGCAAATCTGAAACAAGGAGGAAATGATGTGAGCCTTACTTTTTTCCTTGATAATTTAGTCTTTGCTGAGGTTGGTTTCTCTCATCACGACAAAGTGTGGAATTTTGTTCACCTTGTTCATTACGCTGCAGTCTAAGATCATTATCCCTCTGTTTGGAATTGATATCTTCCTCTGCTTGACCAATCTCCACAATCTCTTCCTTCAACCATACCACAAACAAAATGATCACTTCCAGCATAAGCCAGCCATTCACCAGAAGTGACTAGTTTAGTATAAACTGACCATTCCATCAATATCGGAAGAGGCGGGTGACATGACCAGAGGCATGTTGACTCCAGCTTCCAGAAGTTTCTTTAACTCCATTTCCTTCTGCAGTTGCTCCTGAAGCTGTGCCACCTGCCCATACCAACAATGTCAGTATGTTTAAGGGAAAGGCTAACACTATATTTACTATTCTAAGACAGTAATCACTAAATGAAAAATAAATACATAAAAATTAATAGTCTCAGTTTAGCTATTTAATGGAAGAATCTTCATGGAACTTTAACGAGACCATCATTCTGAATCAATACCTCCACATTAGGAATGATATGTTGTTAGGATCTTGTAAGCATTGTGAGGATTATATATATACACATCAGTTAGGCTCATTCAGATTGATTCCTTGCCTATAATTATGCACTTTTGATTCTCTTTGCTTCCGTAGAACACATAGACGTTACTATGTAAACTCAAATAGCATGAGGGAATAATCCAAGCAGTGTTTCTCTCTCAATACAGACAACAAGGGTAGTCGACAGTTTTGGCTCAACTTCTTTTTTGTCAAGACTGAGTCCATTGTGGCTGATGTCACGGACTTCCCGGAGTCTTAAAACCACGCTAGTAAGTACTTTTACTTGTCTACGTTCTTTCATGTGATCATACATATTTGACTTTGTGGATTGACTCTTCTCATCTTGTAGCTACTGCTCGGAGCCTCCAATTGGTGACGCATCTCAATTTGGTCAGGCAGGTCCTTCCTTGTACTGTGGGAATCCGAGATTGGCCTAGCTTCTGGCAAAAGTACAAACCGGCTCCCCCCAGAAAGGTAACATCGATGCGTTGTTTTTGGATGGTGTTGTATTCGTATCCGTCGGTCTTATTGTGTTTATCTTTGTGTTTCTTTCTAGGCCTCGCCAAGGAGGTTGTCAAAAGGAACCTGGCGCTGACACCTTCTTTTAGGAGGAGGGGCGTTGCCTCCTCTACTCCTGCCGCCGTTTCGACTACTATGTCTGTTCTCCCTTCGGCTCTTTCCCGGGTTGACGACGATGAGGTTTCCCCGCGCGGCACGGACTTGAGGCCCCGGAAGAGGAGGGTCGTAGATGGGGGAGCTGGTGTACCAGTGGTGGTTAACTTATCTGAAGTCTCCTCCGAGGTCGAGGTGCAAGATGTTGTGACGACCTCGGCCGAGGGAGATGTTGGGGCGGCCCCAGAGGTGCCTTGGTTGGAGGAAGCCGACATTGCAGCTTCTTTGCGGTCCGAAGGGGATGAGGCCACCATGAATGCCTTTTATGAAGATCCTGCGCTTCCTAGGCGCGAAGAGGCTCCGCCCACCGAACTAGCCCATGCAGTTTCCCCGGCCGATAAGGGAAAGGGAAAATTGCTAGCCGAACAATGTGATGAGCAGGCTGAGCCCATTGGTGATGAGTTCGATTCTGACTTTGATCCCGAAGAGCATGAGATGATCGATAGCGGGACGACTCACATCAAGGTGAGAGCAGAAGGGGGTTCGAGGAACATCACAATCCCGGTGAATCACGACCTGCTTAAAAATACCGAGGATGTGATTCAGGCATTCGGCCCCTTCTGCTCCGATGCTAAGCACCAGACTCTCGGGGAGTTGAGTGGCAGTACTCTTTCCAAGAGCATCGTCGGCCTTACTCTCAGGGTAAGTCATTTGTCTACCCGTTCTTGATGCTCTTTCATTTGTTCCTTGAGTTCTTTGTTCACGTTCTCCATCTCCTCCATTCTTTTTAACACGGCAGCGAGGGCGCTATTACCTGTACTGTCACCTGCACGACATTTTGTTTCTTTCTCTTTCAAGACACCAATTTACCTCCTACTAAAACACAATCTCCATAAAAAGAACGTTTATCAGACGGTGATCCTGCCCAATTAGCATCTGGGTATCCAACGATTTGCTCATGGCCTTGATCCTCAAACAATAGTCCTTTTCCTGGAGTTGATTTTATATACAGAAGAATGCGGACAACTACATCCCAATGACTATCACAGGAAGAATCCATAAACTGACTTACAACACTCACAGGAAAGGAAATGTCAAGTCTAGTCACTGTGAGGTAATTTAATTTACTAACGAGCCGCCTATATCTTGTAGGATCGCTAAGCGTCTCCCCCCTGCCCTGGCAGAAGTTTGGAATTCGGATCCGTAGGAGTGTCAACATGTCTACAACTTGCCATTCCTGTCTCCTCAAGAATGTATAAGGCATACTTTCGTTAAGAGATCTCAACACCTAAGCTAGACTGATCGACCTCAATACCTAGAAAATACTTTAATCTGCTCAGATCCTTAGTCTGAAAGTGCTGAAAGAGATGTTGCTTCAACTTAGTAATACCAAGTGATCAGCTTCTCTACGAGTCATGCCAAACTCCTGGATAATTGTACTGAACTTACCAAATTAGGCTCGAGGAGACTGCTTTAGACCATAAAGTGACCGGCGCAAGCGACATACAAGGCCACGAGACTCCCCCTGAGCAACAAACCCAGGTGGTTGCTCCATATAAAGAATAGAGCACTTCACGAGTGTGTCCAAGTTTATGACAATAAGAACACTTGGGTCTAGATCTTCCAAAACGACCTCCTCCTTGTCTATTCTCCATAGTTTGAGATGTCCGATTTTTCACTATCTGGGATGCGAGAACAAAGGAGTCAAGTGGTTGTGATGAGATCACTAGGTGACTTGGTGCTGCAGCAAGGCGAAGTAATCGAGAGAATAATTCATCAACTGTAGGGACAGTCGGACTAGCCAAAATCTGGTCAAGTACTAAATCAAGGTCATTAGGAAGTCCTGCGAGTGTAAGAACTAGAAACATCTTCTATCGTTGCTCTTGTTGCTTTTCAATACTAGTAGAAACTGGCATCAACTTCTCAAATTCTTCCATGACTGCCTGTACTTGTCACAAGTAAGTAAACATATTCAATTCCTGTTTCTTCAAGCTTGTCATTCGCGATATCACATCATAGAAACGAGATATGTCATTAGTGTATAAAGTACGAGCCTTTTCCAAAACTAAATAACATGTCTGGAATGGACGGAAGAAGGGCATCAACTTGGAATCAATAGATCGCCATGGGGTACTACATAACTGAGCATCGACCTTTTCATCTCCTTCACTAGCCCTTTTTGTTAAATGATCTTGAACACCTTGACCTTTACACCACAATTCGACAGACAAAGCCCAAGCTAAATAGTTTGAACTTCCCATTAAAGGTTCTGAGGTAATCATAATACCGGAACTTCCGGAACCCGTGTTTTTAGACCCCAAAAGCATCAACTGCCAAAAGACATTGTTAGATAGAAAAGAGGTTCAGCAAATTAGCACCAAATAAAATAAAGAATCAACTGTAGTTGCCGGAGAAACAATGCACTTCCGGAAAAGTACTGTAGCTGCCGGAATTTTTTTTAAAGTGCTCGGAATTTAAAAATAAAATTATGGGTAGGCTCGGAATTTGAAGGCGATCCATCTATTCTGAAGAAATTTCGTCAAAAAGTGGCCGGAAAGTGCTCTATGCGCCGACGCGTAGAGTAGATCTCGCTGGAAAAGCAAACCGCTGATTGGCGTGTGGCAGCACGTGAGATGTCAGTTGCCGAAGCTATTTGTTGGGGTTTGGTCGGCGGAGGTTGGGGGACCTTGTGATGGTGTTGGTTTTTGCACAACACCGATGGAAATTGGTTTGACGAAAAACAACCCTAAAAGGATCGCCGGAATTTAAGCGTGGCGACACTTTCAGCTGGGTTTTCTTTCCCGGATGTTTTCTCACTGCCGCTCTGATACCATGTGAGGAATAATACACGAAAAATTATATTATTGATGTTAATTGTAATACAATGAACCATATTTATAAGTACACATAATATATAACCTACTCCTATTACTTATGGGACTAGGACTAATTACATATATATTCACATAGCTATTCTAACAGAAACTTTGATCATTTAAGTGAATCACCTATGCCTTATCTTGCATTTTATAAGCTTTATATGTTGAATTCTAACATTCTACTTGATGTCGCTATTATTTGTTTTTGACTTGTTAGTTGAGATAGAATTATCCATGTTGAGTTGATATTTTTTGATTTGATATATGATGATATTGTATCTCTTTTCATAGTCTTGCTGTAAATAATTATGAACTATACATGTTTATTTGATTAAGTAAATGTCACATGACTTGAACTTCGTCACTACTTTACCGAGGTTAGTTTTGATACTTACTAAGTATATGTTGTCCCATACTCATACTACATTTCTGCACATTTTTGAGCAGATCCAGGCATTGGCAATAGCGGACTTCAGGAGTGAGCCTTGTAGTCGTCAGAGGAGACTCGAGGTAGTGCTGCATGATTGCTCGCAGACCCTTGGAGTCCCATTCCCTGATCTTTCGTATTTTTATTTATGCATTCGGACAATATTGTATTTTTGAGAGATTTCATAGTATTCTGTTTTAGAGCCTATGACTTCATACTACCAGGTTATGGGGATTTGATGTTGTAGTGTCCATATGCTATCTATTGTTGAAGTCTTAATCCGCTAGTTATGCTATTTCAGTTACCCCTCCGTTTCAAATTAGATGAGGTACTTTCCTTTTTAGTCCGTTTCAAAATAAATGACACATTTCTAAATTTGGAAATAATTCAACTTTAAACTTTTCATTTTACCATTAATGAGAAGCTTTTATAACCATACAAATGTCATGGCCCCACAAAGCTTTTACCCCTTAAGCTTTTAAGACCAAAAGTTTCAAAAGTCTTCTTTTTTTTTTCTTAAACTCCGTGCCGAGTCAAACTACCTTATCTAAATTGAAACGGAGAGAGTATATTTACCTTGATTATGTTGGTTTGCTCTATAATGGATGTTGGCTTACCTAGCCATAGAGGATAGGTGCCATCACGACCGTTGGTGGCATTCTGGGTCATGATAAAGTTGGTATCAATTAACTTAATTATGCCAAGGTATTGAAAACATTTACTAATATGTGCCCATAGAGATTTTAAAAATTAAAATTAACTTAATTATGACAAGGTATTGAAAATATTTACTAGTATGTGCCCATAGAGATTTTAGAAGTTAAAGCAAACAAATAGCAAATTGTCTAACTGGATACTAGTAGTTGAATTACCCATTATTTCTTCATAAATGATCTAAATTCAAAATTGATCTTCAAAGTTTTTTGTTGAAGAAAGTAGATATGCAAATAAATCCTAGGTAATGACACAATAACAAGAGTGCATGGGTAAAGATCTGAAATCTCAGTCAGACCTCATGGAAAATATAGTTTAATTATGTAGCAAGCTCATAAAGCCATACACGTGCAGAGCATGGAGAACGGAGAACACTTGTTAAGAAAAGATGGAAAGTAAAACATTCACCTGCACTCAATGTCATAAGAAGAACAATAATAAAAGCAAAAGGAAAGTGTCAGGTGCATACATCCTTCTCAAGTGCCAGACGACGCTCGCGCAATGCATTCTTTCGATTCTCCATACTTTCTTGCAGAAGGGCATTCCCCTTGGCCTACAAAGAAGAGATGTGTCACACCAAGACCAATTTTCAATACTTAAATAAACAAATTATAGAAAAATAACAAAAGGAAAAGTAATGCATTCCGTAAGAATGAGAATCTCATAAGAGGTACCTGCTCTGCAATTTTGGATTGCAAGTCAGTTTTAGTGACCTCAAGCCTTTGGACTTCAGTCCTAAAGCAAGTCCAAATGCAAAGATACCAAAAATGAGAAATTTAATCATATGTATATAAATGTAAGAAATTTAAGGCAGGGTAGGGGATTTTTCTGTTCATTGCTGATTACACTTGTTGCATGAATGCTGTTTACACTATAGCGTTTGATCATATTGGGTGTTCTTATTTTTCTTTCTCTACTTAGTCCAAAATTTCTCTTATAAGTTGGTTCCTCGTTGTTCAAGAACTTACTTTTACTTACTGCCTCTGTCTCAATTTATGTGACACTCTCTGTCCCAAAAAGAATGACACCTTTGACTTCTATATTTTAAAAATTTAACTTTAATCTTCTCAATTTATTTTTAATGAGATGATATATAGACATACAAATGTCTATGGCTTATTTTAGACCACAAATTTTGCAAGGTTTTTTCTTAAATTTCATTCCTAGTCAAACACCATCACTCAAAATGGATGGAGTGAGTACTAATTTTCTTTTATATTATACCTTGGTTTAACCCTATCTTCAACGTAAAATCAACTTCTGATAATTTTATCACTTACACGTCATCAAGAGGGACATTGATAGATTCCATCGAGAGGTTCTTCTTGGCCTAGACTCAGAAAAGAAAAAACAATAATAGAAGTATCAAAAATTTACACCCAAGTACTATAGTCAAAACAGATGTAATAACGCCGAATACCACATTTAATTTAATCTCACAATGCTAAGCTTAAGGAATAAATATATGTGAAAGTCCATATGGAAAAGTGATAACATGGTGGCATACCAGAAAAATAGACTACACAGTTTATTTTGAAAAGGTAATTGTCAGCCAAAAGCATTCAATTATACTTACAGGAGAGCGCCCCCACAGAGCAGGGCGCTGAATGCTTTGGGCAACTCTACTTTGTATATCTATTGACTTTTGGGAAGTAGATGTCTTTGCCAGTTCAGCTCCCAATTGTTCACCACATTCATTTCCTTGTGTCCTTGAATTTTCATTACTTTGAACTGGAACACTCTTGCTTCCTTCCACTGGATCATGCTGAATAGAAGTATGAGGTGGACTTCTAGGCAAGCACCTACTGGCTTCGCTGTCTGCTTCGGGAGACTTGGAACCAGATTTAGAAACTTGAGAGCTCTGCGACATTAATCTATATCCTTAGGGAGAAGTGACAGAAGTTGACGTGCGGAGGAGCAAATATGTACTAAAAATAGTTCAAGAGGACTGCATGAAAGCAGAGGGATAACTAACATTATCAGCAAGCTTTTTTAGAGATTTTCCATTTCCTCAAAATAGTTTTCGACTATATTCAGGTAATCAATATCATTTTGCACATCGAAATCATGCAATACAAATTGGTTAAACATCTGGGTCATGGTGGGATCAATTTTTGTTGATCTTCATATCCACTAAATACTACTCCCTCCGACCCATCTTACATGAAGGTGTTTGATTGGGCATGGAGTTTAAGAAATTAAAGAAGATTTTTAAATGAGTGGTGGTGAGAGTTCCCAACTTTTATACTAAACGGTTCCCAACAAGTCATGTCCTTAAGGATAAAATGGGGATGCTACGACTAAATAGTTTCCAAAAGAGAAATGTGTCATTCTTTTTGGGACAGACTAAACAGGAAAGCGTGCACATAAAATGGGAAAGAGGAAATTACAAATTGACAAGCAAACCACAAGTTTTCAAGGACAGATATACAAGCAGCATGCAGCCCCTGAAGGGCGTGAAGGGATGGGGTTGATTTAAAAAGTCCTTAGCATCACACAGGATCAGCGGAAACGCACGAGATAACAATAATAAGGCTGACAATAGGATAATGAAGGGAATAGGAAAGAACCTTGTTACTATCTTCACATTCACCAACCTCACTGGTTGTTGGGCTGGACTCACGTTCAAAATCATCATCAGTATCAGCATCAGATCCCTCCTGTGAATCATCCTCATAGCTTTCATCATCATCAGTAAGTTCTTCACTCTCGCTTCCACTACCGTCCGAGTCGGAGTATAGTTCAGGCGATACAGAGCCTTCCTGCAAAGAGTTTCAACTGCTACGTGAACAGAAGGGGACTGGAAATCAACATAGAAAACTTCATTTTCTGCAGAAATTTCCTAATCCAGGTTATTCAAGCATTTACCTATAATACTCTTTCTGCAATTTTTTTGGAAACTGATCCTAAGGAATAACCACATTAGGCATGGAAGTATTGCTTATGCTATATTTCTGTTAGTTAATGATTTATATTGCTGTGTTTCTATTTGTTAGAATAGTTATGTAAATAGGAGTAAATAACCTAATCCTATATGTATTAGGAGTAAGACATGTTATGTATATATATATATAGAGAGAGAGAGGGCTCATTGTATTATGTTTAACATAAGAGAATAATATCAATAATATTTTCTCCCGTGCATTCTCACATGGTATCAAAGCAGCAGTGAGAAAACATCCGGGAAAGAAAACCCACCCAAAAGAGTCGTCGTGTATCAATTCCGGTGACCTTTTAGGGCTGTTTTTCGGAAAAAATCAATTTCCATCGGTGTTATGCAAAAACCAACACCACCACAACATCCCCCAACCCCCGGCGACCAAACCCCATCAAACACCTCCGGCAGACAACCTCTCATGCGCCGCCACGCGCCGCCCGACGGATTTTTTTCCGGCGAGATCTGCTTCACGCGCCGGCGCGTGGAGCCCTTTCCGGCCATTTTTTGACAACGGATCTTCAGAACAGTTGGGTCGGCTACTAATTCCGACCCTACCCATCCTGTTTTCGTTTGATTCCGACCACTTTGAGTTTTTTCCCGCATCTACACTGATTTTTTCCCGCAGCTACAGTAATTTCCCGGCAAAAACAGTGTTTCCTTCATCTGTTTCAGCGAGTTTTCACGATGTCTTTGGGAGTCAATTCTTTCGGGTCTAAAAACCCGGGTTTTGGCAGTTCTGGTGTTATGATTACCTCAGAACCTTTAATGGGAGGTTCAAACTACTTAGCTTGGGCTTCGTCTGTCGAGTTGTGGTGTAAAGGTTAAGGAGTTCAAGATCATTTAACAAAAAAGGCTAGCGAAGGTGATGAAAAGGCCAAAACACTGTGGGAGAAGGTCGATGCTCAGTTATGTAGTATCCTGTGGCAATCTATTGATTCCAGCCCTTGTTCCGTCCATTCGAGACATGTTATTTAGTTTGGGAAAAGCCTCGTAATTTATACACTAATGACATATCTCGTTTCTATGATGTAATATCGCGAATGACAAGCTTGAAGAAACAGGAATTGGATATGTCTACTTACTTGGACAAGTACAGGCAGTCATGGAAGAATTTGAGACATTGATGCCAGTTTCTGCTAATATAGAAAAGCAACAAGAGCAACGACAGAAGATGTTTCTATTTCTTACACTCGCTGGACTCCCTAATGACCTTGATTCAGTACGTGACCAGATTTTGGCTAGTCCGACTGTCCCCACAGTTGATGAATTATTCTCTTGATTACTTGGCCTTGCTGCAGCACCAAGTCACCCAGTGAGCTCATCACAGACACTTGACTCATCTATCCTCGTATCCCAGTCAGTGGACAATCGGGCATCTCATACTATGGAGAATAGACGAGGAGGAAGTCGTTTTGGAAGATCTAGAACCAAGTGCTCTTATTGTCATAAACTTGGACACACTCATGACGTGTGCTATTTTTTACATGGTCGCCCACCCAAAAATGCTTATGTTGCTCAGACCGAGACTACAAGTAACCAGGGTTTTTCTTTATCTGAAGGGGAGTATAATGAGTTCCTTCAGTATCGAGCAAGTAAGCAGACATCTCCACAAATAGCCTCTGTTGCTCAGAGTGATACTTCTGTTGCTGGTAATTCTTTTGCTTGTGTTTCCCAGTCTAGTACTCTTGGACAATGGGTTGTGGACTCAGCCGCTTCTGATTATATATCTGGTAATAAATCACTTTTGTCAAATATTGCGTATTCACAGTCTCTTCCCACTGTTACTCTTTAGCCAATGGATCTCAAACCAAAGCAAAAGGAGTTGGACAAGCGAATCCCCTACCCTCTGTCACTCTAGATTCTGTTCTCTATGTCCCTGGCTGTTCTTCTAATCTTGCATCTGTTAGTCATTTGACTCGTGCCCTCCATTGTGGTATATATTTTATTGATGATTCCTTTATTATGCAGGACCGCAGTACGGGGCAGACGATTGGAACAGGACTTGAATCAGAAGGCATTTACTACCTTAACTCACTCAATTCCTCCAAGGCATGTCTAGTTACAGATACTCCGGACCTAATTCACAGACGTTTAGGATATCCAAGCTTATCCAAGCTTCAGAAGAGGGTGCCTAGTTTGTCTAGTTTATCTACATTAGAGTGTGAGTTATGTCAGCTCGGGAAACATACCCGAGCCTCCTTTCCTCGTAGTATTGAGAGTCATGCAGAGTATGTTTTTTCTTTAGTTCATTATGATATATGGGGTCCTAGTAGAGTCAGTTCAACCTTGGGATTTCATTATTTTGTTAGTTTCATTGATGATCATTCAAGATGTACTTGGATTTTCTTAATGAAAGATCGTTCTGAGTTGTTTTCTATATTCCAGAATTTTTGTGCTGAAATTAAAAATCAATTTGGTGTTTCTATTCGTCGCAATGATAATGCCTTAGAATATTTATCCTCTCAATTTCAGCAGTTTATGACTTCTCAAGGAATTATTCATCAGACCTCTTGTCCTTATACCCCTCAGCAAAATGGGGTTGCAGAGAGAAAGAATAGGCACATCATTGAGACTGCTCGCACACTTCTCATTGAATCTCATGTTCCGTTGCGTTTTTGGGGCGATGCAGTTCTCACATCTTGTTATTTAGTTAATCGGATGCCTTCCTCTCCCATCAGAACCAGATACCGTATGCAGTATTGTTTCCCCAATCACCCTTACTTTGTTCCCACTCGTGTTTTTGGGAGAACTTGTTTCGTTCATAACTTAGCCCTTGGGAAAGATAAGTTAGTTCCTCATGCTTTCAAGTGTCTTCCTTGGTTATTCTCGTGTTCAGAAGGGATATCATTGTTACTCACCTGATCTTCGTAGGTACTTTATATCCTCTGACGTTACATTTTTTGAATCTAAACCTCTCTTTACCTCTTCTGACCGTTCTGACCACCTTGCTATATCTGAGGTCTTACCTATACCGACCTTTAAGGAGTCTACTATAGCTCCTCCTTCACCTTCCGCCACAAAAGTCTTACCCGAGTCTACTATAGCTCCTCCTTCACCTTCCGCTATAGAAGTCTTACCCATTCCAACCGTTGGGGAGTCTAGTGTGGCTCCTCCTAGACTCTCTGCCACAGGAACACCACTCTTGACATATCATCGTCGTCCGCACCCAGCATCAGGCCCAGCTGATTCACGTCCTACACCTGACCTTGCTCCTCCTACGGACTTGTCTCTTCCTAGTACATCGATTGCACTTCGGAAAGGTATACAGACCATCCTTAATCCTAATCCCCATTATGTCGGTTTGAGTTATCATCGTTTGTCATCACCCTATTATGCTTTTCTATCTTCTTTGTCCTCTGTTTCCGTCCCTAAGTCTACAGGTGAAGCATTGTCTAATCCAGGATGGCGACAGGCTATAATTGACGAGATGTGTGCTTTACATACGAGTGGTACTTGGGAGCTCGTCCCTCTTCCTTCAGGTAAATCTATTGTTGGTTGTCATTGGTTGTATGCAGTCAAGGTTGGTCCGGATGGTAAGGTTGATCATCTTAAGGCTCGTCTTGTTGCCAAGGGATATACTCAGATATTTGGGCTCGATTACAGTGATACCTTCTCTCCTGTGGCTAAGATAGCATCAGTCCGCCTTTTTCTATCCATGGTTGTTGTTCGCCATTGGCCCCTCTATCAGCTGGACATTAAGATTGCTTTTTTACACTGTGACCTTGTGGATGAAGTTTATATGGAGCAACCACCTGGGTTTGTTGCTCAGGGGGAGTCTCGTGGCCTTGTATGTCGCTTGCGCCAGTCACTTTATGGTCTAAAGCAGTCTCCTCGAGCCTGGTTTGGTAAGTTCAGCACAGTTATCCAGGAATTTGACATGATTCGGAGTGAAGCTGATCACTTTGTATTCTATCGGCATTCTGCTTCGAGTCTCTGCATTTATCTGGTGGTCTATGTTGACGACATTGTTATTACCGGCAATGACCAGGATGGTATTACTAAATTGAAGCAACATCTCTTTCAACACTTTCAGACTAAGGATCTGGGCAAACTAAAGTATTTTCTGGGTATTGAGGTCGCTCAGTCTAGCTCAGGTATTGTAATCTCACAACGAAAGTATGCCTTAAATATTCTTGAGGAGATAGGAATGACAGGTTGTAGACCTGTTGACACTCCGATGGATCCGAATTCTAAACTTCTGCCAGGACAGGGGGAGCCTCTTAACAATCCTGCAAGATATAGACAGTTGGTTGGTAAATTAAATTACCTTACAGTGACAAGACCCGACGTTTCCTTTTATGTGAGTGTTGTGAGTCAGTTTATGGATTCTCCGTGTGATAGTCATTGGGATGCAGTTGTTCGCATTCTTCGGTATATAAAATCAGCTCTAGGCAAAGGTTTATTGTTTGAGGATCGAGGCCATAAACAGATCGTTGGATACTCAGATGCTAATTGGGCAGGATCACCTTCTGATAGGCGTTCTATGTCTGGATATTGCATCTTAGTAGGAGGAAATTTGGTGTTCTGGAAGTGCAAGAAACAGAATGTGGTTGCTCGGTCTAGTGCAGAAGCAGAATATCGAGCGATGGCTATGGCGACATGTCAGCTAATTTGGATCAAACAGTTGCTCAAGGAGTTGAAATTTGGTGAGATTAGTCAGATGGGACTTGTGTGTGATAATCAAGCTGCTCTTCATATTGCGTCAAATCCAGTGTTCCATGAGAGAACTAAACACATTGAGATTGACTGTCACTTTGTCAGAGAAAAGATACTCTCGGGAGATATTGCTACAAAGTTTGTGAAGTCGAATGATCAGCTTGTAGA